TCTGTCATATTTGAAGCAGCTGCAAAGACTGACAGAACAAGCCAGAAGATGCCAGCTAGTTCCTGCTAGGGAAGGAGGAATACTAGGTGGGGTTACAAGTAGTCAATGTTCCAGGTCAGCTTACTGCCTGTGGGGCCCGAGTGACAGCAGGCAGGGAGGGTGAGTCAGCTCACTGACTGATGGAAAGTGTGCTTCACTGCAGTCTTCCAGCTGGACATCACTGAATTTTAAAAATTCCAACATAACCCCTTTTTATTCAATATGTCTCAAATATGTCAAGCTGAAATATTTTAAGTACCTTGTTTTGAAGTCTATAGTTATAAACTGACAGTACAACCAGCCCTGTTGGGATAGATACCCTGGGGCAGTTAAATTTCCTCTGGATGATGCTTGAAGGAAAAGGCAGCCCAGTCCCTTCCCTCGAGTTGTGTCTTATTCCTTCCCAGCCCAAAGCCGTAATTCAAGTGGGAAAAGCAGCCCCATGGTCCGCACTTGGAGCAACACCGTAGGAGCGATTTATTGTGAAACAGCAGCCCGGCCCGTGCCCACGGGTTCATTGCACCGGACCGGCGTTTGCGTTCCAGCATCAGCACCGGTGTACTGGAGCTCGGGGCATTGCCCCACGACTCACCCGTCTTCGCAGAACACGTTCACTCTTGCACCGAACTGCAAGTCGGTAAGAACGACCGTCCTGCCCCCGGGCAGCGCTCCCGGGTCGCCGCAGGATCGCCCTGCCGGAGAACGAGGCCAGTGTTAGCACAACACACAGTGACGGAGAAATAAAAAAAGGCTGAATCAGGGAACAGGCTTGGAGGGTCATACCCGAAGGTACCAAAGCGTTGTACTTCCCACGTGTCACAGCCGAGCTGGCAGGAGCCAGAATCAGCCGTAGGTGAAGGTGTGGATCCCCTTAAGGGCTCCACGCTCACAGCAGTAAACATCGCACAGGAGGGCAGAGGAGAATATTTGCAGAGATATTTCTGTCTCAATAGTTTGGCAGTAAGTTACTCAACTGTGACAGATGTATTGCTGCCACATCATCAGTCTTAATATTACATGGATTTCACCAAGAAACATGCTTTGTCTTCATTTTGAAGGTCAACGCTAGAACTGCAAATTGGCATTTGTCCTGTGCACCTGCCATGTGCCGATGCAAACATATTTGCTAACATGAAAATCAGTACAGATCTGTTTACACCAGCAGGAAAAAAAGAACATTATTGATACTCCTGCTGTTCAGTTCTTCCCAGTGAGGGTGGTGAGGCACGCTGGCACCAGGGCAACCCTGGCAGAGGTTGCCCAGAGAAGCTGTGGCTGCCCCATCCCTGGGAGTGTTCAAGGCCAGGCTGGATGGGGCTGTGAGCAACCTGGTCTGGTGGGAGGGGTCCCTGCCCAGGGCAGGGGGGTTGGAACCAGGTGGGCTTTAAGGTCCCTTCCAACCCAAACTGTTCTATGATGACGATGATGATGATGATGCATGTCAAGGAATATCCACCTAATTTTGTACTAAGCATGTAGTTGTTGGGATGGTAACGACCCAGCTGCATTTCAGCACGCGGGTTGGGAGCAGCTACCTGACCTGCTCTGAACTCCCCAGCTGCTTTTTGGCAAGCGGAGCGGAGCAGAGCGGAGATACTCACTTCTGCACAGCTCAGCAGCTTCTGACCATGCCAGGTTTTCAAGGCAAGTGCTGGTGGGAGAACTTTCCGAGATGTTCTCGTAGCCGGGGCGGCAGACGTAGCTCACGTTGGTCCCAACAGGAAAGAAATTAATCCTCTCGTCCACCTTGGACAGGGCAGCAAACCGCAACCTTGTCGGGGCAGCACAGCTCCCTGGCAGTCAAGGAAAGGAGGCCTGAAAGAGCCGCCGCCGGGAGGCATGCAAAATAAACCTTGGAATCACAGAAATGCTCTCACTACGGTGCTTTTGGAAAGCTCCTCCCATTCATCGCAGGTTACTTCTGTTTTCTTACCGGGCTACTAGACTGCGGAATGCATCCTTTGCAAAGTGCAGGTGAGGATGCATTGACTGCACAGGCAGAGGTGTTAGTGGGAAATCAGAAGTCCCACGCACGTCCTGTGGGCAGCGCCCGCCGCCGCCGCTCACACCACCCCTGC